TGTAAAGTAAAGATGGTATATACTTCCAACATACACGGTACTGGAAAGTAAAGATGGTTTATACTTCCAACATACACGGTACTGTAAAGTAAAGATGGTTTATATTGAACATATTCTCAGAATTTTTAGGCTAATCCTGGTTCATATTGATCACATCCTCAGTACCGTAAAGCTCATACTGGTTTATATTGATCACATCATCATTTCTGTAAAGCAAATCCTGGTTTAAATTGATCACATCCTCAGTACTATAAAGCTGAAACCTAGTTTAGATTGGTCACATCCTTTGTACTATAAAGCTGAAACCTAGTTTAGATTGATCACATCCTTTGTACTATAAAGCTGAAACCTAGTTTAGATTGATCACATCCTTTGTACTATAAAGCTGAAACCTAGTTTAGATTGATCACATCCTTTGTACTATAAAGCTGAAACCTAGTTTAGATTGATCACATCCTTTGTAGTATAAAGCTGAAACCTAGTTTAGATTGATCACATCCTCAGTACCGTAAAACTCATACTAGTTTTAATTGATCACATCCTCATTTCTGTAAAGCAAATCCTGGTTTTAATTGATCACATCCTCAGTACTATAAAGCTGAAACCTAGTTTATATTGATCACATCCTCTGTACCGTAAAGCTAATTCTTGTTTGTACTGATCACATCCTCAGTACTATAAATCTATTATTCGTTTATATTGATCATACCCTTAGTGTTTTATGAAGCAAATAATGATTTATGTTGATCACACCCTCAGTATTCTAAAGCTAATCCTGATTTATGTAGATCATATCCTCAGTAATGTAATGCTAATATTGATTTATATTGATCACATCCTCAGTATTTTAAGGATAACCCTGGATTATGTTGATCACATCCTCAAAAAGCTAATCCTCATTTATATTGATAAGTATTCTAAAGCTAATTCTGGTTTATATTAATCACACACCCAATACTGTACAGCTAATACTGAGTTATATTGATTACATTTACTGTATTCTAAAGCTAATCCTGGTATATATTGATCACATCCTCAGTTCTGTAAAGCTAATCTTGGTTTATATTGATCACATCCTCAGTTCTGTAAAGCTAATCCTGGTTTATATATATCACATCCTCACTACTGTAAAGCTATACCTGGTTTATATTTATCACATCCTCACTACTGTAAAGCTATATCTGGTTTATATTTATCACATCCTCACTACTGTAAAGCTATACCTGGTTTATATTGATCACATTTACAGTATTATGAAGCTAATCCTGGTATATAATCCTCAGTTCCGTAAAGCTTATCCTGTTTATATTCATCACATCCTCAGTATTGTAAAGCTATTACTGGTTTATACTGATCATTTCCTGAATACTGTAAAGTTTATCATGAATTATATAGATCACATCTTCAGTAATTTAGAGCTAATATTGGTTTATAATGAACGCATCCTTAGTACTGCAAAGCTAATCCTAATTTATATTGTTAACATCCTCAGTATTGTAAAGCTAATCCTAATTTATACTGTTAACATCCTCAGTATTGTAAAGCTAATCGTGGTTTATATTGATCACGTCCTCGGTACTGTAAAGATAATCCTGCTTTATATTGATCACATCCTCAACTCTCTTACGCTAATTCTGGTTTATTCTAGTCACATCCTTAGTATTGTAAATTTATTCCTGGTATATATTGACCACGTCCTTATTTCTGTACAGTTAATACTTGTTTATATTGATCAAATCCTCAGTTCTGTAAAGCTAATATTGATATATATTGATTACATCCTCAGTATTGTAAAGCTAATAGTGGCTTATTTTGATCACATCCTCAGTTCTGTAAAGCTAATATTGGTTTATATTGATGACACCCTCAGTATTGTAAAGCTAATAGTGGCTTATTTTGATCACATCTTCAGTTCTGTAAAGCTAATATTGGTTTATATTGATGACATACTCAGTATTCTAAAGCTAATATTGATATATATTGATTACATCCTCAGTATTGTAAAGCTAATAGTGGCTTATTTTGATCACATTCTCAGTTCTGTAAAGCTAATATTGGTTTATATTGATGACATCCTCAGTACTGTAAAGCTAATAGTGGCTTATTTTGATCACATCCTCAGTTCTGTAAAGCTAATCCTAGTTTATATTAATGACATCCTCAGAACTGTAAAATTAATTCTGGTTTATACTGCGTACCGTTTCCAAAATTTTTGGTGGAATGACAACGGCAAGCAAAGTTAAAACATAGCTCTCATAAATTATGGTAAACCGCGACTTTACGTTAGCTGTGGTTGTTACGTGCCTTTCGTATTTGCATATTTAAAACTTTTCATACATAACGTGTTCCACACTTTGTATAACCTTTGATTTAGCCTTGAAAGTGTGATATTAAGTAAATATTGTGGAATAAAACCAATAATTTTATAATAAATGCTACATATTTGTTTACAAGTTTTCTAAATAAATGTACAGATAATCATCTTACATTAAATTACATCTTATAATGTGAAAACACACGCAAAGTTACGCATTTTCATTGATTTTATTATGCTATTCGTTGTTAATGTTTTGCGTGTTGTCAGTGCCTTAATTAAGATAATACTAATATATACGTTACATATGCATGTAGTGTAGACTTGTAATGTAATAGTTAGTATATACGATTAGATTTAGCATACATGAAATATAGCGTCGGTTATAAACTGACGTAATCGCTTGTGTTACGCAATAAAGCTTGATTTCTTCTACCATTGCAACGTGTACTTGGCTGTGTCGAACACGAACAAAAAATAAACCGAGCATGACGTATAATCAGATTGGAGATTAACCCGAGTTTCGTAACTTTGATAAAACGTATTGTTACGTCTCCGTGTGTTAATTAATTTTCCGTAACTTCGTTTCAACGAAGCTTTAACGACA